TTGACATGTGTATATGTTATCTTCCAAACTAGAACATAAGTTCCTCGAATCAGGAACATATCTCACAGGTATCTTCTGGTTCTGCTACCAAGCCTGGGAGAGAGAGTGCTTGATGCAAGGAGTAACTAGTCATCTATTTAAAACTTAGTTCAGAGTTAGGAGAACTCTCTTAATCATTCCAGCTTAAGTTGTATAGACACCTGACCCCAAATCACAAACACTGATTATATTTTAATGCAAGAGCCAATGACTGTATATGAAATTTGCTTTTGTAGGAGAAAGATCTATGAATCATTTGACTTTTACCACTATACACAGTACAATTCTTCAGGAATGAAGGATTTAATTTCCTTTGTTCTTCAGTCCAGTTTTAGGGAAGCATGAGGCTATTCCAAGAATGTAATGAGGCAAGAGCCCTCTCATACTATTTTTTTTTTCTGTTAGTCTGCATCTTCAGAATTTCTCTGCTAATACTAGTGCAAAACAGTTCCTGCCCATTGCACCAAGGAGATTGGAAGGAAAATGCCAAAAAGCATATATAAAGATTTCAATTCTTTTTCTGATGAAGAGAGGAACAATTCTTTTTGAAGGAATCCTGGCTTAATAGCCATTTCATTCTCTCAAAAGGTTAGAGCATGTATTTTTTAAAATCCAAATCATATGTGGCATTGACAAGGTGACTCTTAAGAATTTTGAATAGTAGAGCTAACCCAAATGCCTCAAAACCTATCTGAATGGATGAGCCCCTATTATGGATTTAAAATATATACATACACTCATGCACATATATAGTTAGCTAAGACTAGGTCTTAAATTTTAGGAAAGGTAAGGGCTTTTGAGCCATGACCAACTCACAAAGTCAAATAAGTAAATGAATAAAGACAGAATTTTTATGGCTAACAGTGACTCAACATTAGCCATAATTTCATGGCAAGCTATGGGATGAATCACATAGAAATGAGTAGTTTGATCTTACAACACATTTGGTCTACTCATAAAGTCCTCTTGAATGAAATAGGAGTTCATATAAAATAAGCATGATTTTAGGATTGCCCCTTTCCATCATTACATACACACACACATTGATATACAGGTACACAAACGTATATATGCACTCATATTCATTCATAATCCAGACATTACAATTCCTAACCAATTAAAAGATTGGTCATGTCAATCTACATATTACACAGAACTGTTTACAGTGCCTGCTTTTACATTCCCTCAGTAACATCTATAAGTAGCTAGTTCACTTGAGGTAGCCACTCATCACCGTTACTACATAATTTAGAAACATATGGCACAGCTTTGCCATGCCAACTTCTAGGTATTCACTTTACCATTATGACAAAAGAGGACAAATAAAAAGCACAGAATAGTTTTTCAAATTGTCATTTATGAACAGCTGAAACATACACTGTGATAGTCAGAAGGATAGATTTTTGTTTTGGTCATTAATTATCACTACTAGCATGTTATATTTAGATTCACGGTAGTACAAGAAAAGTGTACCTATAAATCACAAAATACGTTTTAACATAGTCTGTTTAAAGTCCGTTCTTTTAACTGGGGAGATTATTGGAATGACCAGACACTCTTTTCCCCAGGAAAAGTGAAATCAAGATAATTAACTAACAAAATGATCTAGGAATGGTATCTTCTCCCTCTGCTCCTTTCCAGTTGTTCTTCCTGGCTAAAATACTTTTTTTTTTTTTGATCTTCCGCTCAAACTACATAGAAAGCCTGGCAAGTCTGGTGTTCTGATTTACCAGCCAATCGCTCATCTCTTTCCTTCATACTTTTAATGAGGTTAATAAATGTCCATTTTGCCCGTGTTATTTGATAGGTGTCCAAAGGATCTCTCTCAACTCAAATAGAAGGAACCCTGGGCTTAGAAAAAAAAAAAAAAAGTACACCTGACATGTCAGGATTCTATTTTTCACTCTAGAATATTTCTGGCCAGTGTTGCATAGTAAAAAGACAGGATTTGAAATCAGAATAACCCATGCCTCAGTTTCCACTCGTTCTCCTATCTATGTAGTGCTTTAGGCAAATTATAAAACCTCTGAGTCTCCATTTCCTAAAAATGAAGATGGTAATTCCTACATTGTTAGAGTTAGGAGAATTTAAAGTGATCAAAGAACAAAAAAAAGAAAAGTAAAAACTAAGGAAATTTCTAAACTACCTATTTTTGTTAATTATGTATCAATATTGGTTCTTTAGCTATAACAGATGTGCCATACTATTGTAAGATATTAATAGGGGGAAACTGGGGCTGGAGTATAGGGAACTCTCTGTACTATTTGCTCAATTTTTCAGTAAATCTAAAACTCTTCTAAAAAATAAATCCTATTTTTAAAAAATGATCTAAATGAAGTGCCTTGCACATGGTAGGTTCTTGAAAAATTACAGCCAGTGTTAGGATATAGACTATTTGGTTTCATAAACTGTCTTATTCTCTGTACAATATGATCTTTTCTTCTCCGGCTCTGTTGGGGTATAACGGACATACAAGATTGTTTAAGTTTAAGGTGAACAGCATGATGATTTGACTATATGATTCTCTTCCCCAATTCAGCAACTTTTTCATAGGCAGTCTTCTCTGGCTCTATTCCCTTCTTCCACATCATTTTTCCTATTTCTAATTCATCCATTTCTATTGTACTATAAATTCATATGTACTTTACAACAAGTTTATATTTCTCCAAGACTAATTTTGGCTTATCAATCTTATTTGTTGGCCTTAAATTTTACCACAATGCTTATGCAAACATTTATTACTTTCAATGACTGCCCACTAAAAAAAATACATCAAAGTTCCAAGCTTTCTAAAACATTCTCTTCCAGAAAGACACTAAAAACTTAAAGATACAGAAATGGAAAAGCTTGTTTTCTTTTGTAATAAGGAAATAGATATTCAGCTTCCCAGGATAGCTAACAGCCCTGAGGCAGCTTTGCTGGAATATGCATTTAGCCCTAGTTTGCTGTAATAACTAAAAATAGGTTGACCAAATGCCCTGTTATCAATCTGTCCTGTCTCTTTGATGTTAAGGTCATGTGTAAAAAGAACCCACTTGCCCCTCAAAATCACAGCTTTGAATTGATTCAGGTAAAACATGCAACCAGACCAGAAAAACTTAGCCTCATGATGATCTTTTCAGGTGGCTGAAGTTTCTTTTTAGAAGAAATGGGCCACTGTGAGAACGGATTTCTTTCCCCAATCTAGTGCTGAATTTTAGCCTCTATTTAAAAGACAGAGCTCTAGAGCCTTTTGACTGATAAAGCAAAGTTTGTTTTATATTTTCTCTTTAAATCACAATAGTTTTCATTGCCAAGGGAATAGGACATCTTTGGTTGGTGCTGTTATTAATGGGATAGATTTTGAAGATGACATTTCCCCTGCTATAAAGACACAATTATCATAATAATTCCAAGCTGAAACTTGAAATATCAGGCCCTGTACCTGAACCCAACACCCAACCTTAATAGAAAATCCAAAAACTTTTATTGTTCTGAGGATACTTTTGTCTACTGTAGTCCACAATAGAGGCTGAAAAAGCAAGGGGCCACAGATGAGGGGTAGAGAGCAGAGTGTGTAGCCCACCTGCTATTCCCCAACCAGGAAATGAGTTGTATTTTTAATAAAACTGATAACCAAGCTTGTGATAGCTGAAATAAATCATCAGCGCTGGGTGGTGTGTGTACATATATAAGCAAAACAAACAGAGAAATCTGTGCTAATTTAAGATAAGGGTGGATAAATACAGGAAACCCTAACACGCTACTACAGCAACATGGAATTCAGTCTCAAGTGACAGCAACCAAGAAATTCACTCTTTTAAGAAACCGTCCCTCTGGGGGCTTCACCGGCTATGCTTTCAAAATGGAATTGACAAATTCACTTAAAAGAAACAACGAAATGCGGATTTTCTTCACTAACTCCCTCCAACCTCCAACCGGGGACCTGACCTCTTCTCTTCTGGTCCCACCATAGCCCCTTATCCTGCAGTAACCTTCCCTCTCCTTTCTCTGGCTGGGAAACAGCTGATAGAAATAGGCACTTTTTTTCGTATCAGAAGCAGCCCGGAGCCGCCTCAGCCTTGCCCCAGCCTCAGACACAAAAAGCTTTTGATGCTCGTAATTGCGAAGCTTTTTGCAGCTGCACTTTATCAAGCCCAAAGCGGCTTGGCTTGAGGGCCTCGGAGAGCCAGAAGGTGGCGGCGAAGTCACCTTGGGAAGAGAAGAGGGTCAAAGGGAGGAAGGTAGAGGAGCTAACCCTGGTAGAAGGACCAGAGGGCGTGCCCCGGCTCTGGGGTCACTGAGGAAGGGGCAGAGGGTGTGGGGGTAACATCAGCCAGAGGGGGAAGCGGTGCCCGAGGACCCTTAGACTACCCTAGTCGGGATCAGCTGACCCCGACGAGGGGAGGAGGGTGCCCTTCGCCGTGTGACTGGAAGCTTCGCCTCCGGGACTTGCTTTGTCCCGCCTGCCCCTGCGGCTCTCTCGGCTAGGCGAACCAAGCGCGACTCGGAGGCGCTCTTCTCGCTCTACACGGGTGCCCCCACCTGCCGGGTGCCCCCGCCCGCCGAGCGCACGCCCAGGAAGGCGGGCCCAGAGCTGAGCGCAGCCGCCAAGCCGCTGGAGAGTGCCGGGAGCCCGGCAAAAGGAGCAAGGCCTCTCTGGGCGCCGCGGGCTGCAAGTCACTCCCCGAGCCTCCCGGGCCATAGAGCCGGACCTGCCCACCTAGCTCCCCAGCGCTCCCGGGTGGGGACACACGGCGCTGAGGTCCAGGCACCTCGCGGGTCCCCGGCAGCTCCAGGCGCGCTCGGAGCTGGGCCGACCCCGGCCTCGGAGAGGGGGCCTCGTAGCCCCTTCCCCAGGGCGCGGTCTACTCCTCCTCCTCCTGCTCCACCTCGCCAGCTGCGCCGCCAGCTCCCATTGTTCGCCCCACCCGCCAGGCTACGTCCCGGCGCCGCTCCCGGGGCCTCCCAGGCGCACCTACCTTCTGCTGCCGGCGAGCCATGTCGGTGGGCTGCTTGGCGTTGAAGGGATAGGCGATGCAGCGCATCACGAACACATAGAGCTGCAGCCTCTTCTTCCTCTCCTCCTCCTCCTTCTGCAGCCGCTCCAACTCCTCCTTCTCTTTCTCGCTCACCACCGACGGGCTGGGGCTGGAGGGCCGACCGCCACCGGCGCGACTGCTGGGCTGCAGCCCCCCGGCCCCGCCGCCGCTGCTTGCGCCGCTGCCCCCACCGCCGCCGGCGCCCACCCCGGCTCCGGCACCGCAGCCACCCCCAAGCCCGGCGCCGCTAACGCCGCCGGAGCCCTCGCTGGTGCGGCTGGGAGACAGGCGCGCGCCGGACGCGGCCGAGCCGAGAACCTCCTTGCCGCTCTCCTCCTCCACGATCTCATCCGATTCCTCTTCGCTGGACGAAGGGTCCAGCATGGTGGCGCCTGGGGAGGGGGGTGGTCCTTGGAGCCCTGGGCTAGGGGTGCAAAAGATGGGGGGCGCTGGAGGCAGCTGAGGGTCGGCTCCCCGGGATGGGCGCTTCTCCCCAAATCAGGGAGCGGGCGCTGCTGCTCAGCCTCCGCCGCCGCGACTGCTTCCTCTGCTCGGCGATAGCGAGCTGGGCTCAGACCCAGGAGTGCGAGGGGAGGAGGGGAAAGGAGAGGTGCGTCCGTGGACCCGAGGTGGGCAAGGAGGAGAATCAATTGCGAGCCCTGAGCTCGCAGCCGGATACCATCTGCAGCCGCTGAAGGAGGCGCCTCCAGAAAAGATGCCGAGTGTTGCAAGCTGTCGATGCAGCCAAGAGCCTAAGAGGCATCTTGCCGATTGGGGAGGGAGCGGCGCTTACGTGTTTATTGGCTTAACTCTCCCGTGTCCGCTGCGTAAAGGGTGGCTGCAGAAGGCTGGAGCGGGGAGAGCGTGGAGCGGTCCCAAAGTCTCAGAGCTTCAGTACCGACCCTAACACTTTCCTACCACTCCTCACCCCCTTCCCTTTGTGGATAATTTCCTTCTTGATCCCCAGTTCTCATTGCCTCGACCTCACTCACCCTCCCTCGGACAAAAAGTTCTTGGGGGAGGAAGAAATAGACAAACCAGTAATGACTTCTTGTTAGCGAAGAGTGGGCGGTCTGTTTGGAGACGCTAAATCCAGAGGTCTCGCGGAGAGGAAGTCGGTGAGATCCCATACAAGAAAGAAAGAGTTTATCTCCTTTCCCCAGCCTTCTTCACACCGGGGCTTGTGGGCAGTTGGTCTTGGCAGCCTATTTGTCCCACCTGTGTAAACTTTGATTCCAGCAATTTACATACACCCACTCATTAAAATAAAAGTGAATCAAATTTTGAATTGATTGGTGTATGGACCATGTAGCTCAACTATTTAAGTAGAAGCCCCGCCCTTCCCTACCCCGCAAAAGCTATGATGAATATTCTTCAATTCCAAGAACTGGGAACACTTTCTGCTGAGGTAAGCATACCAGAGAAAATAGAAGGGCTTCTGGTTGCTCAGCCCTTTCTCTTTTCTGGCCGCTGGAGATCTGGGTGGAGGAGTGGGGACCCTGAGATCAGACAAAGACACCCCAAGAACTCAGCGGCATCAACATCCGATATGTTGACTCTGTCTTACTGTCTTCATCCCTGCTTCTCGGTTATCTATTAATTCCAAGCGGCAGATGGTGCCTTCCTTCCCCCTGCTCCTTTTACTTAGGCCAATAAACCCGGCGGACAAGGGAGCTGGCCAGCGTGCTGAATCTAATCAGCGACCCGCAGATGGATTGAAAACAAACCAACACCCGCCACCCTTGGATCTTAGGCTAACTAGAGACCTTTCTCCAGCTCCGCCCACCCCCCATCTCCTATATTTATGCATTTTCTAATGTTCGGATTATTCCTAGATACTCATGGGAGTTATTGTAAAAGTGTAGCGTGAATTTAAAGTTTACATCACATCTGTCTTTATGTATTTTCAAATTTACCATGAGTTTTACTGCAGGTTTTGATATTCAAGTGAAGCTTTCTCACTAATTTGAGAGCTAAAAAGGGACTAAAAACAACATTTAGCTTCACATCAACTCCAACAATCCTGTTTGAGACTTTGAATTAATAATACATGTATAGCTTATGGTTGACTTCACCACCATACTCATCTCAAGGACATAACTACTGTGGTCATCACCCACATTCTGTATCAATTTAAAACAAATAATCCAGCAATGTGGAAATTATTACAGTTTTGCAGTCCTCATTTTTTAATTACTCTAAAGAAGTAAAGGATGTTCAGATCATGTGATATTGGTTTCCCTGGGATAGAAAATATAGTAGGCCAATCAATCGATAACCTTTATTCAGCACCTTTTTATGGAGTGAGCATTGTTCTAGTTGCTTGGGGTAGATGGAATTTTTAAAAGACATTCTCTTGAAGAGTCTATAATCTCCTTTGGGAGATACAACATAAACATGTGAAAAAGATCGACAGCACTTATTTCAAGGCAACATATCAACAAATCCAAGTTAGTAAACTGCTAAAAGCTTGCATGAATGAAACGACTGGGAATGGAAAAGAATTCTGTGTTTCTCAAAGAAGAGAGTTAAATTTTAAAGGAAGGAACCATATAAATGAATGGTGAAAAGAGAAGATATTACAAGTGAAAACATACTTGGCAAAGCCATAGCGATAAGACAAGGGACCAAGTATGGTACAAAGTGTTATGGAGATGGGATACAGATAGGTAAGGGAGAAGTGGGGAGAATAAAAGAAGCTGAAATAATAATGCATTTGGCCAAGTGGAGGGATCATGTTTAGGGCACAAAAATGAATTAAGTTACCTAGGGAGAATATGGTGATTTGAGGAAGGAGTGATCTTGAAGGCCAAACAAAGGCCATTTACCAGTTAAATATTTCTTCTTTAAGCAGGTTTAGGCATTTAAGTGTTATCACATTAGACACTGGGAGAAGAGTGACCATGAATTCTGTCTTCAGAACCATTTGGAACTTCTCAATTGCTATAAAAAAAGTTTTGTTTACTGTTGTATTTTTACAAATTCCTTTGCCATTATGTGGGGGTATTTATCCCAATTATACTCATTAAAACAAAAACTCAGTGTCTATGTTTTATTAATCATATAAATCTATGACTTGGGTATTAAATGTAACATTGCTTAGCTAAATCTAAGAATCTTCTCAATCCCCTCCCCATAAGTTTTCAATCAGAGAGACTTAAACAGATTTTATGAGAAACACTTTTATATATTTTTTCAAATGGTGTGCATTTTTGTCATTTAAAGTGTACATCCTTTCAAAGATATATTTCACCTTAGCTAAAAGTTAATTCAAAGTCCTTGGGGGATATTATAGCTCTTCGCTACTGCTGAAGATAAGATATGCCAACTCCTTAGACATTTAAACCAAGAGTCATGGCTTTCTAGATACAAATTTTGATGAACAGGAGTGAAAATAACCCCAGAACACATCCAAAGGCTCTTAATATTTGTTTATCTTTTGTTAACACCCATGTTATTATTTTTAAAAAAATATAATTCTACCACAGATTCTGATACAGACAAGTATCTATAATCTCAAATAAGTTATCTTAGATGCTTCCATGTTTGCCCCTACCTCCAGTTCTGCTTTGTAGGAAACTTGAATAACCTCAAGGTGATGGAATAAATTTTAGTCAGCCATCTGGAGACCATATCATGAAAACGGAAGTTATAACACCGATTTTTTTTAAAATCCCACCCACTAAAAGCAAAATCTAGAGGAGATGGAAACAACTGAAATATTAACCCAGGGTTTTCTTATCTAGACCATTCTCCTCTGAAGTGTTTGCTATGATCATGTAAAAGGCCACAAGTATGAGAAATATCAGAGTCATTGACAATTAATAGACACTTTGGTGAAAAACACTTTTGTATGTCACTCATATAACAAATAACACTGAGTTTAATGGCCATTTTAATGTTTTTGCATGTTTTTTACTTGAAAATAGTTTGGTTGAGTTATGGTTTTTTAAATCTCATAACAAATTTCATATTATCTAGATGTAATCATCTCATAATCATCTCCAATCAATATTTCTTTTATTTTTAAAATTTTAGGGATAGCTCACAAGCACAAAAAAGGAGAAACATGAACCTTATGGAATGCCTATGTCAAGTTAAATGCTTGGGCTCTCAACCTAGGCAGTTCTGCCTCTGCCACTTAACAGCAGAGTTATTCTGAGAAAATTACCTAATGACTCAGACTCCGTTTCCTCATCTGTAAAATGAGGGACAATTGTACTCACTTCCCTTGGAATGACAGGAAAATTAAATTAGATTTTATATTAAAAGTATTTTTCAACAAATTAAAAATAGAATTACCACATGATCCAGTAATTCCACTACTGAGCATTTTACCCAAAGAATATAAAAACATTAATTTGAAAAGATAAGTGCACCTTTATGTTCACTGCAGCATTATTTACAATAGCCAAATTATGGAAGCAGCTCAAGTGTCCATCAATAGAGGAATGGATAAAAAAAGATGTGGTATATATACATACACAATGGAATATTATTTAGCAATAAGAAAGAATGTAATCTTGATATTTGCAATGACATGGAGAGAGCCAGAAAATATAATGCTAAGTGAAATAAATCAGTCAGAGAAAGACAAATACTATTTGATTTTACTCATGTGTGGAATTTAAGAAACAAAAAAAAGGAAGGAAGGAAGGAAGAAAAGAAAGAAAGAAAGAAAGAAAGAAAGAAAGAAAGAAAGAAAGAAAGAAAGAAAGAAAGAAAGAAGGAAAGAAAAAGAAAGAAAGAAAGGGACAAACCAAAAAGACAAAAACACTTAACTAAAGAGAACACACTGATGGTTACTAGAGGGGAGGCTGGTGGGGGGATGGATGAAATAGGTGATGGGGATGAAGAGTACACTTATCAAATCATTATGAGCACTAAGTAATGTATAGAATTGTTAAATCACTATACTGTAGACCTGAAACTAATACAACAGTATATGGTAACTATACTGGAGTTAAAAATTTTTTAAGTATTTTTCAATAGATTTTAGGTTTAAACTTTTTTTTCAACTGATAGGAGAAGGACTTTTAACAAATGAGATGACCAGAACTTGGGCACAAATAGTCAAACGGAAAAACCACATTAAAGACACCAAATAATCCAGGAATACATCCTTATGTAATAGAGTATTTGCCTATTTATTTCATTGATCCCTGTCTTGTTTTGGATAGTATTTTCAGGGACTTAGAAAATGGTTTATTTTCTTTGAGAAGCCTACTCTTCATCGTTACTCTTTATCATATGATGATTCTTACTAAAGTGAAATGAAGTGGGTTAGGATGGAATTAAAGTGCAATCATCAGACTGAAAATAATAAAATCAAACCACACAAGAACATCTTCTTTCACTCCAGGCAGTAAAACATGTTTTAGAAT